TGTAACCTGTCAGAAACAAGGATGTAGGTGCTGTTATTTGGTTCGTGAGCATAAAATCTTGAGGCATAATGTTGATGAGTAGACTCTACCACACACAGATATATTGAAAACTGTAATATCTGACAATTATACCTACATTGTAGATTCAATCATTACATACAAAATGTGTAGCGAATGTGATATAATAGTAGCTTCTATATCACATTTGCCTTCCACACTGGCATGCCTCCACTATACCTAATATATATGTCATACAAAAATAATAAAGCACAAGCTTTAAATATACTTGAGACTTTTGAAGTATAAAGATAGCCTTTAAAACAGCACATACTATATTTTATGAATGTGAATGGAAACATTACAAACAGTGCATGCAGGGGCAATTCTCTACTGTGGCAACACCACAAACCTATATAAATACATGAAAGGCCAGGAAAAAATAAAAGCTTTTTCTTGGAAACAGCAGGAAAAGAAACAATAACAAGAAATTCCACAGACAGACCCCGACCGCCAGCGTAGTGACAGATGCCACTGCTCCAGTCCTTCCAGAAAGAGAATATCCAGGTAGCTCATATAGTGGTCAAAGTAATCTCTTAGTAAATGAACTGATGCTTTTATAGCACTTTTCTACTCTCCCAGAGCACTCGTCGCGCTTTATACCACATGCCACACTCACACAAGCACTTTCTTCTATGCTTTAAGGGCTTCAGCTAACATTCACACACATTCATTTCTGAAGCATTTCAATGGATGCATCAAAGAGCAACTTGGGGTTAATGTCTTCACCAAGGACCCCTGGCTCCCCCATGCAGACTGGGGGAGCCAATCAGTAGATGACCTGCTCTACCTCCTGAGCTACAGCCATCCCATTAATTCGTCTGAGGGCACTGCTGGGACATTAGTCATGATTCAGGTTGTTCTTTCAACATTACTTAGTGTCACTGATCATCACAGCTGTTACTTTAACAAACTGATAACTGTTTTAGACTATATTCACAGACCCATCCATCTATTCTTTTCCACTTGTCCTTATCAGGGTCACGGGGGGGCTGAAGCCTACCCCGGCAGGCAATATAGAATCACCAAATAGCCTAACCCCATTAACTGCATGTCTTTGGATTGTGGGAGGAAGGCAGAGTACCAGGAGAGAACCCACATAACCACAGGGAGGGCATGCAAAAAGGGCTGGTGGTGGAGTCAAACTCCATTGCTGTGAGCAACAGTGCTAAACACTGCACCACCATGGTGCCCTATATTGAGACATTTAAATTATATATTCAGCCCACTGAATTGTGTTAAATAAGTTCCAGCGTGTCTTGGGTCTGCCCTAGGGCCTCCTCCCAGTGGGACATGCCCGGAAAACCCCAGGAGGCATCCTTATCAGATACCTGAACCACCTCAGCCTGCTCCTTATATTTTTTATTAAATCTAATAAAATTAATTTATTGGATTTGAAAATATATACCTCAAACATGAACCATGAAACATGTCTGAATATATTAACCCTTTATGTTGACTGTTTATCTTATTTATAAAATACATTTAAACTGGTATAACACCAAGTTCCAGGTCTCAGAAAAACCCAAAATATTTGAAAAGCTTAAAGGTATTTTTTAATGTGTAAATTATTTAAAATGCATTCAGGTCATTAAATTTTAAATTAAGTGGTAATGATTCATCTCATAAATCTTCTCCTCTAAACAGAACTATAAGTATCGCTGTTGGTATCTGCAGTACTGGTCTTGTGTTTACTTGCTATTGATACCAAAATACGTAGTTTCACTCAACACTATCAGCTTCAGCTGGATTAGTCAGTCATACTTTTAAACTGAAATGACCACGCCCCTAACTTTAAACCTTATGCTATCCAAAGCGTTTAGTTGAGTTTTAGATATACACCTCCAACACGATCCAACCACACTGACCTGGCAGCAGGCGAACCCTCCAGTATATGCGCAGGCACAGCTCCTCCTTACGGAAACCACGCTGACATTTGCAGGTCAGTAGAGAGGGGTGTTTGGCTAGCAGGGCATCCCGCCTCTCCACGCACTCAGATGCCAACTGTTCTGCCTGCGGGGACACCGCTGCTTCTTCTGCACATAGCTCCAAGCCTCGATACAATGCCTCGCACGTGGGTTCAACGGAGCACACACGATGAGCTTCAACACAGTCGATGGTGGGGGCAGGGAAGTTAAAGATGGATGCTGAGGATGGCAACACACCTAGGAAAGCAAAAAAGTTAACATCAGATACACTGCATTATTATGCCGTGACAAGGTCTTAGAGAAAATACTTACAGCGTATACATATAGTGACTTGCATAGCCAGCAAACTATTGCAGCTAAGATAAG